CAGCCTCTTCTATGAAAAGGAAATCAAAGCAGCCTTCTGTGCGTAAGTCCTCTTCTTCTCGCATTTTTCCGAGGAAAATGCACCCTAAAAATGCAGCGCTGAGGCCAAAATGCCTTGCTAAAAGCTATGTGCGTAGGGAATTTACATATTTCAAAGAAAAATAGCTGTAAAGGGAAGTACTGGAGCAAAAACTGGAGCAATGGGATTTTGGGCACCTCTCTCTGTCTGAAAAACCGTGCAAGTGGTATCTTTGCAAGCCCACCTCGTTTACTGGCAGTCAGGAGTGTGAGAGAAGAATTTGGGAACCAGTTTCTAGAAGGCAGGATCTGCACTGTCCAGGAAACTTCTAGTTTCAGTAATGAAATCTCAAAAGTTCTCCATCAGACAATATAAACCTTCTCCAATATAAACCCTCATCTCCTGCAGCATCGCACGTAGCTCCCACATGGGAATTCCTTGCTGTGTTTGGGTTGGTTTGGCTTTTTTTTAGGCCTTCCTGGGTGAAGGGATGAGGCAGTCCGTGTAAATTCTTTGCAGCTACATAAAGCTGGAGTTCAGGAGCAGATGCTGCCTTGGCGCACTGACATTGGAAGCCTTTCTCCAGCCCTGAGCTCTCCCTGTGAACATTTTTCTCCACGAACAGCTAACGAATGCTGCACAGAGCCAGCGTGAGCCAACACGGAGGTTTCAGCTGTTTCCCAAACAGTTTGCTCAGGGAGCAGGGTGGGAAGAAAAAGCTGCTGACCCGTCTTCTCTGGACAGCCTTGAGCAGAGTAAAAAGGAGGTGGGGTGGCCAGCGAGCACCTCTTTTTCCTCGCTTTTAAGCTCCTGATGTTGCCAGGTGTGTGTTTAATACCTCTCAGCTTCTTACGTTTGGTTTAGGCAAGGTTATCCTAGAACAGAGAGAAAAACAAAGGATTCTTGTAAATATTGATGTATTTTTTTCAGGATGATAAGAATTTATCATCCTGAAAAATTCATCCTGAAAAAATTCCTGTTTTTAGAGGATCACAAGCCCTAGATATTTTCCTGGGTGGTCTGAAGTCTTTTGTAGCACTGTGCGTGTCATTTACATCATTCACAGTACAAAATGAGGAGTTGGTTTTTAATTACACTAATTTATAGCTAGTTTGCTTTTCTTCACTGCTGGACGTGAAGACAAACGAGCCGTTCCCACCCGTGTCCTTTTTAAGAACCAGGCAGCCCACGAGCAGCGCCGTCATCTCGGTGAGCGTTACCCAGCACAAGAAAAAAACAGACTGCTTACTCCTAAAAAAGCCGTTTTCCTCCCCAAACACCGCCTTGAGGCGGGGATGGAGGAGGCAGCCCAGGGATGTGGGCCAAAGGCCGGGCTGGTGTCGGCTTTCGGAGCCAGCGCCGGCCTCTGGGAGAGCCTCAGCCCTGTGGGCAGCGAGGTCCCAGCCCCGCACCGCACATCCCACACGGGCACCCGGGGCTGGGTCCTCAGCTGCCTCAGCACCCCAAATGTGGGGCTCGTTGGTCTAGGGGTATGATTCTCGCTTAGGGTGCGAGAGGTCCCGGGTTCAAATCCCGGACGAGCCCTTCTCTTTTAGGACACCAAGGCCAACGGCATCGGGTTTGTGTGGCCAGCAGGGCCTCTGCTCACAGGGAACCAGGGCCAGGAGCAGAGGGAACGGCCTCAAGTTGTGCCAGGGGAGGCTCAGGTTGGCAATGAGGAGACATTTCTGCTCAGCAAGAGCGCTCAGGCCTTGGGACGGGTTGCCCAGGGAGGTGGGGGAGTCCCCGTCCCTGGGGGTGTTCAAGGAGAGGTTGGACGTGGTGCTTGGGGACAGGGCTTGGTGGGGACATTGGTGGTAGGGGACAGTTGGAGCAGATGATCCTGGAGAGCTCGTCCAATTAATACATTAGTTTTTCACTGAAATGGGAGTTTCTTTGTGCGCTAAAACCCCATGTTTAGTGGCACTGGGACATCCGTGAGGAAGTCCAGCTGCTGGGGGGTCCGACCCCCCTGCCAAAGCAGTTCCCTAGAGCAGGTTGCCCAGGTGGGCATCCAGATGGGCCCTGAATATCTCCAGAGACCCCACAACCTCCCTGGGCTGTCCCAGTGCTCCGTCACCCTCACTTCTTTCGTGTGTTGGTTTTCTCTGTGATTCTGTAATAGGAAAAATCAAAGCAGCACACGAGGGCTGGAAACATTTAAGGGGAAATCACCCGAGTGGTTACGGCAGCGAGCCGTGGTGGGGAGCATCAGCCCTCCTGCCTGCCAGGCCGGGTCAGCACAGCCCAAAGTTAAATTTGGGAGATGTTGGTGTGGGGCGACAGCCTCCTGGCCTTGTTTTTGTGTGGGACATGGAACTGGTGTTACAGCAGCTTTAGGCTCTTCCCGAGCCTCTCAGCCCTCACCCTGGGCTCCAACAAGCACAGCTACACCCAGCCCGTGCAGGGCAGGCCGTGTTTTGTCCCACAGACCTTTTTCCTTCTGCAGACCTTTTTTCCTGTGGGCCAAAGGCCGGGCTGGTGTCAGCTTTCCCAGCCAGCATCGGCCTCCGGGAGGGCCTCAGCCCTGTGGGCAGCGAGGTCCCAGCCCCGCACCGCACATCCCACACGGGCACCCGGGGCTGGGTCCTCAGCTGCCTCAGCACCCCAAACGTGGGGCTCGTTGGTCTAGGGGTATGATTCTCGCTTAGGGTGCGAGAGGTCCCGGGTTCAAATCCCGGACGAGCCCTTCTCTTTTAGGACATCAAGGCCAACGGTGTCTGAAGTGCTCGTCCCCCTGGGCTCTGCTCTGCTGAGGCCGCCCCTCGAGTGCTGGGTTCAGCTTTGGGCCCCTCACTCCCAGAAGGACATCGAGGCCCTGGAGCCAGAGAAGGGCTCCGAAGCTGGGGATTTTTGTTCAGTGGTTCTGTTTGAAACGGACACTCAGGTATAACCTGGGAAGGAGAAAATGGGGATATTGAGAAGGATATTGAGATATTTCCAGAAATGAGGAGCACCCACACAGGCTGCGATGCCTCTCAGTGTGCAGGGTGAGAAAAAGCCCTTGGAGGAGAACCGATGAGCAAGGGAAAACCTCAGGAGGGTGATTTCTGCCTATCCAGCTGCTCGCAGGCTCCAAAACGCACACCCAGCACCGGGCAGAGCTCGTGGGGCTCTAAAATTTTGTTCCTTCTCTCCCCAGAGTCGACACGGAGCTGCGCTGGGAGGGATCCCCTACCGAAGGCCGAACCATCAGAAGCCGGCGCTGGCCCCAGCAGCGATCTCAGAAGAAGAAGCCCAAAGAATTGCCCGGATTTTCTCTGCTCAGCTCTCCAAGAAGGATTAGTGAGGGTGAGAGGCCGGCCGGAGCAGCTGATGGCCAAGCCACGGCTCCTGCCTGCCACGCAGGGAAAGGCTGAAGCCTCCGGGGGAGGAGAAGGCAGCAGCTGGCTTCGATCTCTGATATTTAATTTGTCTAATTGGTGGTAATTTAAAGGGAGGGAGAGCCTGGGGGTCGGCCAAGGGAAACTGAGAGACTGCACCTCGTGAGGCCAACTCCCAGGGTGGCACCTGCTCGATTTCTGAGCCTCATTCCTGTGAAATCTCTCCAAAAGTTTCTCCACCCCCTCTTATTTTATTTTTTTGATGAGCTGGGTGAAGCGCCCCATTTTGGGGCAGCTCCTTTGTCTTCAACCAGAGGAGGTTGAAGCCATTAAAACCATTAAAAATACCTTAAAAAAAAAACATTAAAAATACCTTAAAAATCGGTCCCTGCGGGGAGCTGAGGGCTGCTGCCTCCCTGCCCATGTGTGCTGGGGCCGGGGAGAGGAGATGAGCTCCCTCCCCGCCTCCTACACCCCAAAATCGCTGCTGGGAGGCAGTTTGGTGATTCTGTGAGTGCGAGGTGCTCGTGTAAATACAGACCAAGTTGTCCTGTAAAATATTGGGGTGTGTACAGAAGGGTTTTTTCAAGCAGTGTGGCACTTTTGTAACGTAAATTATTTTTGTATGTGTTTGATAACGGCTTTGATGCAAACCGAGCTAAGTTATTTTTGTACCAGTCCTCGACCACTGTTTGTGTGTTTCAATAAAATTATGATTTCTTCTCTCCGGGTGAGCAGGGCTTGGTCCTACAGCAGCCTCAGGGCCCTCATGTGTCCCGTAAAGGTCCGTGCTTTGCGAGGGGACAGCATTGCTGCCTTGCCCAAGGCCGTCCTCCCTGGAAAAAAAGCTGCCTTTAAAACCCCACTTTTGAAGTTTTGGGGTCAGGATGGAGGGGAGCCAGTTTCATCATCCCTTTTTTCGCCCCTTTTCTACACTTTTGTCTTTCGTGGGCCAGTCCTAAATGCCTAATTCACCACCAGTGTCTCTTTCCTTGTCCATGCGGGGAGGTGAAACCATTTCCAGAGCCCCTTGGGCTGCGCTGTGCCAAGCGTCCCCGTACCGCACGTCCTCAGCTTCCCCTGCAAGAACAGGAGGGCCACGAGGGCTTCCTCCTCCCCAAAAACCCCAGGGTGGGGTCGGGAGCACCGTGCCAGCAGGGCTGTGAGTTTTAAGACAGTAAGAAAGGGAAGAAAAGGGATAATTGTTGAGCTTTCATCCCATCCTCGGCCTCCAGCACTGTCCTGAGCTGCACCCTGAGCCTTTGCCCAGCGGGGGTTTTGTTGCCTGAGCCTGGGCACGGGCACAGAAAGGTTTTTGCTTCGGGTCCTTGCCTTGGGGTCGCTCCACGTGAGCTCAGGGGACACGTTGTGGTGGCTGTTGTAGGAAATCCCGCTGGTAAACACGCTCAGCAGCTGCTTGGGATCGATGACAAACGCGCGGCCGCTGCCAGGGCCGGGAGGGTGGGAGCTGCCCCCGTGCCCCTGCTCCCCGTCCCCGGGGGGTCCCAGCGGGGCAGGAACGTTTTTGGAGCAGGGATCGAAGCGCAGCAACCCCCTCGTGGATTCCAGGCAGCTCAAATGCCACCGGGGGACGGGGTTTTGCTGTCACCCGACGCCGGCGGCTGCTGGAACGTCCCCTGGGTGCTATATAAAGGGAGGGCCAAGGAGCTGGCGAGCAGGGGGATGGCTGCGAGCAGGGGGGTGTGAGGAGGCAGCTGGGGACGCGTTGCCCCCACGGTGAAAAAAAGGGGAAAGGATTTGACTTCTGAGCCTGTCCCAAGGCAGCTGGAGCCACCCAAGCAAATCGTCACCTCCGTCCCCAAGCCGGGAGCCTGGACGAAGCCCCTCCGCCTTCCCTTGCAGCCCCCGCGGCCATGGTGGGCCTGAAGCCCCCCGAGGTGCCCCCGCCGGCAGCCGTCAAGTTCCTCAGCGCCGGGACGGCCGCCTGCATCGCCGACGTCTGCACCTTCCCCCTGGACACCGCCAAAGTGAGGCTGCAGGTAAAAAAAAAAAAAACAAAAAAAAAACAACAAAAAAACACATAAAAGCCCCCAAACGGGCTCATTTTAGGGCGGCAGAGGGTAAGGTGATGCTGTCGGCGCCCTACAGATCCAGGGCGAGGTGCGGATCCCCCGGAGCCCCAGCACGGTGGAGTACCGGGGCGTTTTGGGCACGCTGAGCACCATGGTGCGCACCGAGGGGCCCCGCAGCCTCTACAGCGGGCTGGTGGCGGGGCTGCAGCGCCAGATGAGCTTCGCCTCCATCCGCATCGGGCTCTACGACTCGGTCAAGCAGCTCTACACCCCAAAAGGGGCCGAAAGTGAGTGTGGCGCCCGCCAGGACCCCTCCCCGTGCGGTGCCGCGGGCGCAAACCCCATCCCTGAGCTCGCCGCGGTGGTGCCGACCCTAAAACTCATCCCAAATTTGCCCCCGTGGGTGTATTCCCGCAGGCACGGGGCTGGGGGCGAGGCTGCTGGCGGGCTGCACCACGGGCGCGGTGGCGGTGACGTGCGCCCAACCCACCGACGTGGTCAAGGTGCGATTCCAGGCTCACGGGGCAATCCCGGACAGCGCCCGGCGCTACAGCGGCACCGTGGACGCCTACAGAACCATCGCCAGGGAGGAGGGAGTCCGAGGGCTTTGGAGAGGTAAAGGGGGCGAGTTTGGGAATGGGAAGGGAAGAGGAGAAGGGTTTGGGTTGGAAGGGAGATGAAAATCCCACTCAGCCCAGCTTGGGCACCCCCAGCTCCTCCGGGCAGCCTGGGCCAGGCCCTCAGCACCCTCAGAGGGCAGAATTTCTTCCCAATTTCTTCCCAATTTCTTCCCAATTTCTTCCCAAATCCTCCCCCCTGCGAGCACCATCCCCGGTGCCACCGCCCTTTTTCCTTCCCTCCCTCCCAGGGACGCTGCCCAACATCGCCCGCAACGCCATCGTCAACTGCGGGGAGCTCGTCACCTACGACCTGATCAAGGACGCGCTGCTGCGGGCGCAGCTGCTGACAGGTGAGGCCGGGGACAGGGGACGCCACCGGGCACCGTTCCCCGTTCCTAAAACCCTCACGGCCCCATTTTTATCCCCTTCACGTCCCCAGACAACGTCCCCTGTCACTTCGTGGCCGCTTTCGGGGCCGGGTTCTGCGCCACGGTGGTGGCGTCGCCGGTGGACGTGGTGAAGACGCGCTACATGAACGCCGGCCCCGGGCAGTACCGCAACGTCCCCAGCTGCCTCCTGGCCCTACTGATGCAAGACGGCCTCGCCGGCCTCTACAAGGGGTGAGTTTGGGGTAAAAAACGCAAAATTGCCACACGCACGGGCACCGGGGGGTAAAAAACGCAATATTACGGCACGCACGGGCACCGGGGGGGGCTCAGCACCTTTGGGATGCCCCCAGAAGGGTTTTGGGGTTTCGGGGACGTCCCTTTCAGCCCCGTTTTGCCCCCCGTACAGGTTTGTCCCCTCCTTCCTGCGGCTCGGCTCCTGGAACGTGGTGATGTTCATCTCCTACGAGCAGCTGCAACGCGCCGCGGTGCTGGCCTGGCCGGCTCCTTCCTGAATCCCTCCAGCTCCTCTCGCCAGCGTGGGCGAGGTGCAGGAGTGAATTCCCCTAAATGCTGCGGCAGAGGGGGGGCAGCGAGGCCGAACCCCTCCCCGGCACGATGGGGACGATGCCGAGGACCAAAAGGGGCCCCGAGAGGGACCAGCGAGGCGGGCGGAGGCGCTGCAGGCGGCCGCTTGTAGGGACGTGGGAGAAAAGGTGTCCAGAGAGGAGTTTAGAGGGGAATTAAAAATGTTTGTAGGGTTTCCAGCCCAGAGAGCATCGCTCCTGGGGGCAGCGGGGACGAGATGAGTGGGATGGAGAGGTGTGGGCAGGTGGGATGGCGTTGGGGGATGTGGGAACGCGGTGATTCCTGGGATTTCCTCACTGATTCTCCAAATAAATCACCCCTATGGGGTCAGAGCGCAGCGGGACTCGGGGTTCCTTCATCTATGGGATCATTAGGGTTGGAAAAACCCTCCAAGCTCATCTGGTCCCCCTACAACCAACGTCGGGATGTAAGGGGTTCTCCTAAGGAATAAGGAGGAGCCCGGCACTGCTGCTCCCCCAAACCTCCCCCCTGACCTCAAACCAGCACCCTGTCCCCAAAAAACCACCTGGAGCCCGGGTTTTGGGGCAGAAATCCTTCATTTTCGCACCGGTTTGGGTGCTGGCAGCAGCGCTTTATTGGCCTAGGAGAGCAGCGCGCTCTTCAGGAGCATTTTCTTCTCGGGCGTGAGCTCCCTGGGGAAGCAGATGTTGAAGGAGATGAGGAGGTCGCCCCTGCGCCGGGGCTCTTGGGGCAGCGGCATCCCCTCGCCGGGCACCACCTTACAATATTTGGGGCTGCAGAACAAAGGAGGGGGGGGGCTGAGGAGCTCCTGCTCCCCAAATCTGCCCTTCCAGAGCCCCCGCTGCTTCTGAGCGAGTTGCTGAGGAGCAGATTTGCTCCCCCCGTGGTTTATTTTCCCCTTTTCAGCTCTGTCCCTGGAGGCAGGCTGCCCCACCCGCCCCCTCCTCGCTTGGTTTTTTGTTTTTTTTTTCCCTTTCAAGCCCCCTCTGTGCCTCAGAAGCCCCCCAAAAAGAGGCGAGGAGCCCCCCATGGGGTGCAGGAGCACGGACTCACTGCACGATGTCGTTGATGGGGATGTTGAGCAGCCGCCCGTCCAGCGTCCTCACCTCCACCGTGCAGCCCACCAACGCCTGCGAGACACAACAGGGCCCCGGAGCTGCATTTTTCAGCCCCAAAGGGATAAAAAAATACCCTTTGAAATAAAAAATTAATAAAAATACCCCCACCAAGTGGCCTCTGCAGCCTCCCAGCAGCCAGCAGCTGCTCTGAGCCCGTTCCTGGAGGTTTTTGGGACCAGGAGGAGGTGGCAGCTCCTCACCTTTCCCAGGGGGATGGTGGCCACGTAGCTGAGGTTGTCGTCGACCCTTTTGAACCTCAGGTGAGGTTTCTCCCGGACAACGAAGGTGATGTCAGCTGGGATGACGTTGGGACCCTGAAAGCAAAGGGGAAAAAAAGGGGAAATGGAGATGGAAAAGGTTTAGGTAGATAGGGGAAGGTGACGTGACTGCTTGCTCCCTGCTGGCTGGGGAGAAAAGAAAGGGATTTTCGTCATTTAGGGGGAAAAAAAATGTCTTTAGCAAAGTCTCCTGCCGAGCCAAAAGGCTAAAAAAAATTAAAATCTTTAATATTAAAAAAATATATTAAAAATATATTAATATTTTTAAAAATCAAGTTTTGCAAAGGTGAGGACAGACGGAACGCTGCCACTTTGGGTTAGTTTTATCCGAAGGAAGTCAGACGGAAAGAAAAAACAGAAAGAAAAAATGGACAGAAAGAAAAGATGGACAGAAATAAAAAAAATGGCCAGAAAGGGCTCTTTTTTATCATTTTTTTGCTGTGTTCCTGAGCACAGCAGCACTTCTCTGCGCCGGGGGGATCCGTCGCTCCCCTGCGTGGCCGTTACCTGGTCCCCTTCCTTCTCGAAGGTGATCCTGGTGCCCTGCCTCCAGCCTGGCCGCACGTCGATGGTCAGGATTTTGTCCCTGATGGTGCTCGTTTGGCCGTCCTCGTTCATCACCTTTGGGGGCAGATGAGGGTGAGGAAGAGTTTGGCGAAGCAGCAGAAACCCCTCTATAAATTCAGCCCTTTCCGTTGGGTTTCCATCATCTTTTGGGCTCGATTCCTGGTTTTTTAGGTCTCGTGGCGCAGGCCCAGCCCTAAAATTTTGGGTTCTGCGAGGGGAAGTTCCCACCCCGCTCATCGCGAGCCCTTACCCTGCGGGAGATCTTGATCTTCTTGGTGCAGCCGTGGAAGAGATCCTCGAGGGAGAGGTGGAGATCCCGCACGATCGGGGGGTCCTGCTTCAGCACGCCGCGTCCTCGCAGCCCCCCGTAGGGCACGACCACCTCGGAGCCGTCCTCGGAGAAGAATTCTGCAGGGGGGGGTGAGAGGAGGGGAAAATAAATAAAAATAAAAATAAAAATAAAAATAAAAATAAAAATAAAAATAAAAATAAAAATAAAAATAAAAATAAAAAAATATAAAAATATAAGTATGAAAATAAAAATATAAAAATGTAAATATAAATATAAATATATAAATATAAAATATAAATAAGCATAAAAATAAGCATAAAAGAAAAAGATAAAAATATATCAATATAAAAAATAATAAAATAAAAAATATAAATATGAAAATAAAAATATAAAAATAAAAATATAAAAATATAAAAATAAAAAATATAAATATAAAATATAAATAATAAGCATAAAAATGAGCATTAAAAATAAATATAAAAATAATAAAAATAAAAATATAAAAATAAAAAATATAAAAATATAAATATAAATATGAAAATAAAAATATAAATAATAAGCATAAAAATAAAAAGAAAAAGAACAAAATAAAAAAATAATAAAAATAAAAAATATAAATATAAATATATAAATAATAAACATAAAAATAAACATAAAATACAAATAAAAAATATATAGATAAAATTATAAAAATAAAAATATAAAAAATAAACATAAAATTAAACATAAAATGAAAATGAAAATAAAAATAAACATAAAAATAAACAAAATAGAAATAATAAAAATAATAAAAATAAACAAAAATAAACATAAAATACAAATAAAAATAATAAAAATAATAAAAATAATAAAAATAATAAAAATAATAAAAATAAAAAAGAGGAAGCACCGAGGGAGGAAGAGGATGGAGGGGCAGAAGCAGAGCCCCTCTGGCAGCAACCCCAAGGCACGTGCAGTGTGTGCGAGCAGCTGGGGAGGGAAACGTCCCCAAAAACCTCAAGATTTTGGGGCTGGCAGTGGCCTCAGGACCCCGTGGGGAGCCCCCACAGCCCCCACATACCCGAAAAGGGATTTTCCCCGCCGAAGAAGTCCCTGAAGACCTTGTCGGGGTTGTTGTGGAACACGTAGCCGCCCGTCCAGGAGTCCTCATCACCGCCCTCGAGGGGGACGCCGCCTTTGAGTCCTTCTTCTCCAAACCTGTCGTAGACGCCTCTCTTCACGGCTAGGGGACGAGGAGAGACGTCAGCGTTTTGTAATTTTATTTATTTTGGATTTTTTGGTGTGGATTTGGGCTCCAGCCCCCCCCAGCACTCACGGTCTCCGAGCACGTCGTAGGCTTCGGCCAGCTGGCGGAACCGCTCCTGAGCCCCCGGCTCGCGGCACTTCAGCGGGTGGGAACGCAGCGCCTGCAGGCGGTAACTGCGGGGAGGGAGGAGGAGGAGGGTGAAGAAGATGATGGTGAGGAGGAGGAAGATGGTGGTGAGGAGGGAGATGAGGAGGAATATGAAGATGAGGAGGAGGAGAAGGAGGAGGAAGGTGATGAGGAGGGTGATGAGGAGGAGGATGATGGTGAGGAGGAGGAGGAGGAAGACAGTGGGGAGGAAGATGGAAGATGATGAGGACGATGAGGAGGAGGAGGAAGATGGTGGGAGGAAGACGGAAGATGATGAGGAAGATGATGAGGAAGAAGGTGAGGAGGAGGAGGAGGAAGATGATGGTGAGGAGGGAGATGATGAGGAATATGAAGATGAGGAGGAGAAGGAGGAAAAGGAGGAGGAGGGTGATGAGGAGGATGATGATGGTGAGGGAAGATGGTGAGGAGGAGGAGGAGGACAGTGGGGAGGAAGATGGAAGATGAGGAAGATGAGGAGGAGGAAGAGGATGGTGAGGAGGATGGTGAGGAGGAGGAAGGTGATGGTGATGAGGAAGACGAGGGTGAGGAAGATGATGAGGAAGATGAGGAGGAGGAGGAAGACAATGGTGGGGAGGAAGATGATGGTGAGGAGGGAGATGATGGTGAAGGAGATGAGGAGGAGGAAGACAATGGTGATGAGGAAGATGATGAGGAGGAAGATGATGATGAAGAGAGCCCATCCCAGAGGAGGATGAGGAGGACGAGGAGGAAGATGAGAAAGATGATGGTGGGGAGGAAGATGATGATGAGGAAAGAGATGATGGTGAAGAAGATGAGGAGGAGGAAGATGAGGGTGATGAGGAAGATGATGAGGAGGAAGATGATGATGAAGAATGCCCATCCCGGAGGAGGATGAGGAGGACGATGAGGAGGAAGATGAGGAAGACGATGGTGGGGAGGAAGATGATGATGAGGAAAGAGATGATGGTGACGAAGATGAGGAGGAGGAAGACGAGGAGGGACATGACAGTGATGAGGAAAACGATGATGAGGAAAACGACAACGATGAGGAAGATGACGATGAAGAGCGCCCATCCCATACCCCACACACCCCCCAACCCCCCCCCCCACCTCCCAGCCCCGGCCGACTACAGCCCCCCCAAACCCCACAGCCTCCCCCCTGACCCCCCCAAGTCCCCCCATATCCCCTATGCCCCCCAAGCCCCCCTCACGCCCGCTGGATGTCGGCGGTGGTGGCTTCGCGGCCCAGGCCCAGCACGGCGTAGTAATCCTGCCCCATGGCGGCCCCGTTGCTAGGGGCGCGGCGCGGGGCATGCCGGGACTTGTAGTTCCCCCGCGCTGTGGCGCCGCCGCCATCTTGTGCCCCTTATAACGGGTTTAGGATGGAAAAACGATTTAAAAAAACTGTATTTTCAGCAATCCCAAAATAAAAATCCAGCTGTCCCTGCTCAACACGTGCAAAGTATATTCTGCATATGGTTTCTATGTATTAAGGAACTGACTGTGGTTATTTCAGTGAGCCTCAAGCTTTATGGGGTTCATTGTGAGATTTAATCATGGCTCTGTGTTAATAGATAGAAACTCACGTATTTAGCCCCAAAACTGAAAAAACAAGGAAACCTTGACGAAAATACAGAGGTCTGGAGCTTATGTAGTCTTTTTAGCTGAGAAAATAAGGAAGCAGACAGGTAGCCAACAGAGAGAGGTAGCCTTGAGCTAGCAGAA